TGATAGTATTTTCTGCATGTTAAGCATGTGGTTAGGGATTTTCTATTGGGAAAATTGACAACACAGCCTTTAACCATTTCTTGAACTTCAGTGTCAGAAATTGCCCTCATAGAACGTGATATATTGCAGTACTGAGAGTCCTCTTGCATTGCTACTAAATGAATGAGGRTAGAAGAGGAGCCCCAGGACTGACCACATAGCTCAGTGGTAGAATGCTTGCCTATGGGGTGTGAGACTCTGGGTACAGCACACAAGCACACACAGTCCCTTTCACCAAGGACTGTCATTCCTCCTCCAGCCAAGTTCAAGACTAACCACAGGGTGTACAAATAATTATATCCATCAGAGGCAAAAGAAGACATTAATCTAAAGGGCCCATTAGCATTTCAAAAGGAGGAGAAAGGATGTATACAATTCTTAGAAGACAAGCTTACTCCTAAGGACTACTTAAAAATAGTGTGGAGCCTGTAGGGGAAGATAATGGAATGACCACCCTTGTTGGGAGCCGGCGACCGCACCCTGAAAATGRCGCTGGCTTCCTGCTTCTGATGACTTAGCGGTTGGAGTTAGAAGTAAACAACTCCTTGTAAGGCTGTGGGCTGGGCTCTGGCCTGCTTCCACTGCACTGCACCTATTAGACTCTTCCATGTAGTGCTGGTTCATTGGCGTGGCTGGGTACTTAAGSTAGGGCAGACCAACCACTYGYGCTCTTTCCTCTCTTGTTCCTGTTTTCTCATCATGATTCAAAGGTCCTGAGTAAACTGCTGAAAGAAGAATCCTGTGTCGTGTTTCCCTTACTGGCGAGGGGTCGAGACACACCCTGAGTACCCTCACATGGAGGAAGAATGTGGGGTGGAGCAGAAGACAAAGGAACTCTGCCATCTACTGCCATCTCATGCTGTATACTGAAGATGACACCCCAGCAAAAAATACAGATAAGTTATAAGTTCGCCTTCTTGGAACTCAAACACTCAGCTTGATTCTTAGTGCAGCAGTAAATCATCAGTAGCTCTGAGTCCTGCATACCTTCAGGGAAAGATTTAGGTTAGAAATGATTAATATTAAGGTGCAGTACATCTCTGGTGACCCAATCTCTCATTATTCTGCAGAAGTGATGCTCTGTTTAGACTCCAGCCAAAATAGGAAGCTTGCTATAGGGTTGTTTTTKTTTTTTTKTTTTTTGTTTTTTTTTTGGAATAAACTACAGAGCTTTCCCAAGACAAGACACCTAGCCAACAGTAAGTATTGTGAGAAGTGATTGCATCATGGGTCCAAGATGGAAAAAAAGAGAAGAAACTGTATTAGGTTCTATTTAGGTCCCATYAGAGCTTGGTCCAGCTCACTCAGATAGCTCTGCCAGCCCATACAAACCCAAGGCAGCACAGAATAACTCAGAAAAACTTCTAGGAGAGCACTCCAAAGTACAGAGGTGGTTAAGGAGTATGCAATGGAGCAGAATCCAGGACAAGATCTTTCCTTACCAGAATATTAATGCAGTGCTACATCTAGTGCCATGAAATATGACAAAAGAAACTTACCTGCTGTCCATACTTGGCTTCACTATATCTGTGGATTTCAACTCAAATAATAAGTTTCATATTCTTTCTTTACATTCTGTGCAATTACTAATTGCAGAGGGGTATAAGAGAGCTAAAAGTAAGAAAAACAGAGTATTTTTATTGTTTTTTTTCACATCATTTTGAGCTACTTTGAAAGTAAACATGTATGTATAAAGACTAGAAACACAAAGACAGCTAAGTGGCAATACTAAATATTCCTTGATATATGGACATGTCATGGATACAGAGATATTTGTAGAAAATGAGGAAAGTCCTCAATCTATTTTAATATACCCAAGTTCATAAACTACTAAAGATATCACATTATTCAGTCTCTCTTTCCACCCACCCCACACACAATTTTTAATAGCTTTGCAGTTTTTGTGATAGCATAAAGTTGTCACAAGCTACTTTTGATTGCTCCTTTAGTTATGCGCATTCATATTTTTCATTATACAGCTTTGAGTATCTACATAGATACAAATTCATGCCCATTTTTTTTTTATTGCTTTCAGTGAGACAAAATTACAAAATCTTTCCACATATATTTTATGTGAAACATGCAAGCTGGGACTAATGGCACATGACTCTAATCCCAGTGGCAGAAGACTGGGGTGGGAGGATTGAAAGTTTAATGTCAGTATCAGCAACTTAGAGAAATACTGTCTCCAGACCAAAAAAAAAAAAATTGAAAAGACTGGGGATGCAGCTAAGCATTCCTGGGTTCAATCCTCATGTGACAAAATAACAATAGGAAGAAGAGGAGGAGGAGGAAGAGGAAGAGGCAAAAGAAGAAGAAAGAAGAAAGAGGAGGAGGAGGAGGAGGAGGAGGAGGAGGAGGAGGAGGAGGAGAAAGAAAAGAAGAAGCAGAAAAACATTCAAATGTTTTTTTCCACATTTGACTATTTTTACATTAAGATATATAATTTAAATATAAATAATTTAGGGCATGTTAGAAAATATGGACTTTTACCCATTGTTTTTACTGATACATTACTAATTCCAACATCATTTGGACTATGGAATATACCTTATTTTTTAGATTGATTTGAGATTTTATATTCATAAAAATAAGCATATATTTTTGGTCTGTATTGATCAGTTTACCTTTATTTTCTATTCTCTTATTTTTATTACACTATTTTATAGTACATTATGGTATCTGATAAAGTAGATCATTCTTTGAGCTTATTTTTACATTACCTTATCTGTAGAGGATGTCCTTGAACTTTTCAACTACTATTAAAAATTAATGATACCACTCTAATGATTGCATAGAATCTCACTTTCTTGCGTTTTTAAATACTTTTCTTAGTTCAAAGAATAAAGACCCTCTGCTATCCACTTTTTGTTCAGTACTTTAGACTACCTGATAACTAAATGGTTTGATGAATGTGATCCTCTACCTTATAAATATCCACTTAAGTGGTGTGAAGTGTAATTACTTAAATTAACAAATTATTGTTAACAAAGTATTTCACAGAAGCTATGAAATTATTTTTGAAAACCATATCAGCATGATTATCTATTTCAATGTTTTAATAAAAACAATATCACATAAAAATGAATGTTTTCAGATGACTCCTCATTTAATTCCACAGTATAGGTAGTTAAGCAAAGAGATTCTAGTTTCAGATTTCTAGGTTCAGTTCTCTTCACTGTCACCTAAAGGATTGAAAAAATTGCTTGTTATTTTATGTCTCTTTCCACATCTATATTAAGCAAAAATACTACCTTGAAAGAAACTGTGAGGATTGGATAAATTAATACACCTAAGTGTTTGTAACAGTGACTGATACATACTAAATGATGAATAAGTGTTACTTTTTTAAAAAATTAATGATAAAGAAGGTGAAGCCAAGATGGCTGAATTGATTAAAATTCTTCTTAGCAAGTCAGTAACAGAGAGAAGAGAACTCAACTCCCAAACACTCTTCTAAGAAACAAGGGGCTATGGTCCATGAAAGGAGCCTATACTTGGAGGACATATCATAAAGGACTCATTGTTCACATGATAATTTCTCCTTTTAATTTATTCTCAATCCCTGAAGTAGAATAGGAAGCCTTTGAAATAACTAGTGTGCTGAGAATTAGAAATATGTCCTGAAGACACCAAGCTTGATGAGCACCAAACTTTAGTAACACACTTTGGATTGATGGTCACATTTAATCAGAGGCTATCCACCTTCACTTTGCATAATCACCAATCCTTTGAATCCACTTAAAAGTATATTGCGAGAGTAAGGATAGTTCAGAGAACCTAATTTCATTTTTGCAAAACTTTTCTAGAGATTGGCCATAGGAATTCAAGAGTTTCGTATAAGACAGCTAGTGAATATTCTTGMACTATTTGAGGTTGTATGGTTAAAYAACTAAGCATGATGAAGTTTATATTACATTTTATTATTAATAATAGAACTTTCATTGCCTTCTCATACCACAGCATTGTAACACCTCTGAAACTGGGCATTAATTTATTTTAACTTTCTGTTAATGGACTATGGTAATCAACACTCCTAATAATCTTGTTATATTCTGATATTTTAAAAAGAATATGCAGCTGGGGGGTGTAGCTCAGTGGTAGAGTACTTGCCTAGCATACAAGGTCCTAGGTTCAATCCTCAGAAAGAAAGAAACTGCAAAAAGAAAGAAACAAAAAGAATACACAAAATAAAGCAAAACCAAATATGATTTGAATCTTTTACTAAACTTCTCTTTTGATATAACTGTAAATAAAATACCTCCACACAGAAAACATTCAAATAATTCATTCTCTTACTAAAACGACTTACTGTTTATTACCAATGTCATCACTTGGCATCTTGCAAATACATCATTACATACATTTTTATCAGGCTGTTTATTTGTGTGTGTGTGTGTATTCATTGTGAAATTCTCTTAGACCTCAGTGTTTCTAACATCTACCTTGCATATGAAACAGCAAAGGATTATTTCAATAATGGTGAAGAGGGTTATAGTAATAATCATAGATGAAGGGGGAAATGATCTAGTTACTAAAGTAATGAAGCAGGAGAAAAAAAATTCACCTGCTTTTAAAATTTATTAGTTTATTACCTCTTTACCTTGCAAAGCTGTGTAAGAAAGAAACAGAAAAAAACTAAAATGAAAGATTAAATTCTCATGTTTATATCCCTCAGAACTCATAAGAATTGCCAGTGGCATTGGTATTTCTTAAATAACTCATTATTTTAAAACATAATAACCTTCTGGGGTCACCATAGGCCTTTCATGTTCCCAAGATAAAAGAAAAGTAATGTCCAGCACTTTTGCCCCAGGCACTGCTACATACAAGTGTTAATTTTGTTAACCATGAATGACTAAATTCATATTACTGCAGGAAGAGATGTATAAAATGATGTTTTCCACCTTATTTCTAATCAAAGACTCCAGAACTACTGGCTTGGCTGATTCTCCGCAATCATGAAGGCTCCAGTCCTCTTTATTTTATTTTTCTTTCTGGCCTCATTGTCACCAGGTAAAAGGAAATGTTAACTGAGAAGATATATATCTTTCTGGACAGAGAAATCTTGGTTGATATCAACTGGAGACAAAGGAGCGACCTAATTGCCAGGAGTATGGTCTTTTATGGTCCCAGGAATTAATTACAAATAATCTATTTGTGATCTTACTAAAATGTAAGGCTCCTGGTGAGTCACATTAAAAACTTAAGGATTTGATCAAACTATGATGAGCTGGTTGTCCAGATGGACAAGTTAGATATGTTGTTAATGTAATGTGTAACCAGCTAGATCTTTGAAAATGAATGCTGTATAGTATAGTAACCTTGTGTTTTCCAATAACTTAAGATAGTCATGGTTATATTATATTGCATAGTTTACTTTGAGAATATTCATTTTAAAATGGCACTTTCAATTGAGTTAGTGTAGGAAACATTTTTTAAATATTTATTTTTTAGTTGTAGTTGGACGCAATACCTTTATTTCACTTATTTATTTATTTATTTTAGTGGTGCTGAGGATTGGAGYGCTCTGCCACTGAGCCACAACCCAAGCCCTGTAAGAAACATTTTAATGCCCCTATTACCTCAGGTCAAATTACATTATGATTATTAATAATGAAGCAGGAAAATGAGCATGACCTTGGGGTAACAAAATTTGGGTTCAAGCTTGATTTCTGTCATGTATTGGCCATATAATCTGTTAGGATTCTATACTCCTTTACCATTATATTTTTTAATTTGTCAACTAAATTTAGGAATTAACTCTGCCTCATATTCTTATCATGATAATTGATTATATATATATGAAAAGTGTCTAATACAGAGTATAATATATTTTAGAATGTTCTTTAATAGTGTTTCAATTACTTTAAACTGTATGGAAACATCTTTTATAGCAAGTAACCTTTAGTTACCTCCTATTATAGGAAGAAATTCTTGTTTGCCATCTATTATAGGAGATAGTAGAGGCAATAATTATTGTGTTGGCTATCATGTGCTTGGACTGTAAGACTTTGCAAATCTTCACTACACTTGTTACTATGAGGTTGGAAAAGCAGCTAAAGGGAAACATCTTGATGAAAATCATTAAAAGATCTGTTTTGATACATTTCAGTTTTCTTGAGATAGGAGAATTTTTCTTATTTATGCAAAAAGTCACTTCACACAAACCCAAACATATCTCCATTCACATTTAAAAAATAAAATGAAATAAGCAAACAAACAAACAAAAACACAACGAGTTAGAAATGGTATAGAACTCAAATAGTTTACTCTTTGAACTTTAAATCTATCCCTTAGCAGCACACAAGAAATYGAATGCTCTAATAATGAGACTAATTTTGAATAAAACAAAAGAAAAAAAGCAAACAACCTCAAATACATAAGTAGTTTGGGTAAAGGATTCAAATGGTTTGAAGCCAGGCATGGTAGCATATACTATAACCTTAACAACTCCAGAGACTGATCAGGAGCATTATTTGGGCCTAAGAGTTCAAGATTAGCCTAGGCAAACAGGGTGAGATCTGTACATATCCCCCACACAAACACACACACACAAAAAAATTCAAATGAACTGAATTATTTTATAATTCAAATAAAATATAGTGAATCAGAATTATGAGTATTATCATTGTAGTGCATCACCTTAAATTCAGGACACACAATTAAAATCAGAGTTTATTTATTCTAAAACTGAACAGAATTTACCTTAATAAAAAAGAGAGAAAAGACTGGTATTTAGCACAGTCACAGTTGTATAATAAAATATTAGCTTCAGTTATGCTATCATGATTTACATGTGTCCCCCAAGTCACTTGTTTTGGAAAAAAGGTATGTGAAAGTCTTCATGACATTTTCAGTATCTTCAAAAACCCAAGAGACATTGTGTATATGCGTGCATGGTTTCATCTAAAAGTTGAAGAATTTGCAATTCCTTCTTGTGCATAAAAATGAATTTTTATATGATACAGTAGCTGTTATCTASAGAGATGCTTTTTTGTTATTTTTGTTACTGGTGGAAAAATGCTAATTTAGAATTCCCACTTAAATAATGCTATTCTTTTTCTCATACTGGTGCTTGACAGCTGTCATCTTCTGTTATTTGTAAATTCCAATTAAGTCAACATACATGCTTCACACCCTTCATGTAGGACAGTGTAATTTGAGGATGCATTTTTAAGCTAGTGCGATAATGTCTTTTTCCCTCTGGCATCAAAAAGAATAAATAGCATCTCTCTAGATAATACAAATACGGAAACATCATTAATTTATATGGGAGAATAGTGGTATCACGTGGTCTAAAATATACAGTAAAAATTTCAATATAATATGGGCTTAATTTGTTTCTTAAAATAACTATCTTTCGAAAGTAACAGAGAGATTTATGCTAACATAACTGCACTGAAAACACAAGGCACAGATATATTGTATCCTTAGTACCATCAACTTCTGGGTCCTATATGTTGAGCTCCTGGGAAGCTGGTAATTCACTATTATTATTAATGTCTTTACTTTGAGAGTCTACCTCCATAATTGGCTGAAAAATGCAAATATTTCTTGAAGAAGTGAAATATTGTCTAATACCCATGATGTGAATGAGTTCATCAACTGGCTTATACTATGACGATGCAGGTTTGAGCACTTTATAAAAGGAAAGACTCAGAAAGAAAGAGACATAAGGGGATGCTGACCAATTTCAGATTTCACTCCCTTCTTCACTAGGAGCTCAAGGCTGGTCATGCATGACAGCATTACCACCCCAGCAACTCATTGTCCTTGGCTAAGCACTGGCTCAAATCTCTAAAAGTGTTCAAAAAACCTCTTTATCTTATAGTCTGGAGGGTTCTTTCTGCTCTTCCATTAATAGATAAGTCTAGAGATATTTAAGTAACATAGTAAAATAAACAATATTAACTAAGTCTCCCATTTTGAGTCTGAAATCCAGGTATGTTTAAATGTTTAACTGCTTTTGAAATTAGAAAAAAAAAAAGTGTGCTGGTGCATACCTATAATACCACTGGCTCAGGAAGGTGAGACATGAGGATCGTGAGTTCAAGGCCAGAGCTCTAATCAATGCAGTGAGACCCTGTTTTTAAACAAAAAAAATATAAAAGGTTGGGGATATGGTTTCATTTTAAAGTGCCTTGGAGTCTAATCCCTGGTACCAACAACAACAAAACACACACATACACACACACACAAAGTAGAAGAAAAAAATCTTGAGACGTTAACTATGTCATTTACCTTAATTTTCATAATGGTATTTATACAAGTTTGTATATGCCCACATTTATCAAACTATATACATAGATATGTGCAGTTCTTTGGATATCAACATATATAACAAAAAGCTGTTATAAAAAAGCAAAACAGGTATGTAAGTAGCCAAAGAAATATAAGTCAAAGAAATCATTCAAGGATTACTTCTAGATACAGCAATATCTATTTGGAAACATTCATGTTAAATTAAACTTTAGCAGTTAGTGGGTTCACCAAAAGGTAAAGAAAAAATTAAAATTAACAATGAAAGAAAAAATAATGGAAAACTTTTATCACTAGAATAATAGGCAAAAAAATGACTTCCCAAATCTCTATCCTTATATGGAGATGTTATGCTTATCTTCACGTCAATAACTAATTTATCCTATCTTCAGGGTCTTAAGTCATATATTATGATTCAATGACTTATTATGTGCTTTTTTTCCCCACAGTAAAATGTGCAATGAAGGACACCTACATTTGTTTCATCAAGGGAGGCAAATGTAGAAATGTGTGCCCTTATTCTGAAAAATCAGTTGGTTTCTGCACAAAACTAAATGCCAATTGTTGCATGTAGAAGTCTGAACTAAAAAACCGGCATCCCTGAACAATAATGCAAGTGAGTATATGGGTTAGTAATCAATGGAACTGAATTGCCAATCATTCCTGCATAGTCTGTGTTGGTCATTTGGATATAGGGCTTCATTTGAGAAACTGAAATCTCTCCTAAGGATCTGAGAATGGTGAGAGTCATCCAGTATACAGGAAGTTCTATGGAAGCATTTCATCATTTTGGATACTGATTATCTGCTGAATGATTGAAGAATGCTAAATGACAGAAAGAAAGTATTATTATCAGGATTCCTCAATTCAAATGTATTCAAACTATAATAGGAAAGTGTCTTCAAATAAGGACAGTTAAGAGAGACCAATGGTGGAATGTGACAGACATCATTKTCCAAAGTACATGTTTGAAGACATGAATTGGTGTGAATATAGTTTGTATACAAACAGAGATATGAAAAATTTGTGCTCTAAATGTGTAATATGAATTGTAATACATTCTGCTGTCATATATAAAATTAAAAAGTAATAAAAAAAGAAAAGAAACAAATAGGATTTCATCAAGACATGGATTAAGGGACCTGATTCACTGCAAGCAGAAAACCTTAGCTTCAGTTCAACCCCGTTTTTATGTGTCTCTTTTCCTGAACAGGGAATTTGAAAAATAGGCCATTTCTGAAAGCAAGGCATAGACATAAGGCTTCAGAATGACGCAACTGGACATCTAATGAAAGATGACAGTGTTATTAAGATCTAGAGAACAAGAGGCAAAAGTTCCAGTGTGATCAATATAAGAATCACCAAATCACTGAAAACATTAGGGAATTTATTAATTATTATATCATCTTCATAGTTTATACTGAGACATGGTTTTTGATACACTTGAATTAGAGAACTATTTTTGATGCTCACAGAATTTTATAAGGCAATTCAATGTCTACAGAAGGTAACTAAGCAGAGATATATTCTTAAGAAATGTAGACCATAGAGTAAAATTATCTTTTATAATTTTGCAGAGCAAACATTTTATAAATGTTGATTAAAATAACCTTATTTTTAAGAAGATTGTTGTTTMGCATGTGTAAGGTTATACAGCTAAGCACAGAACTGCAAATTAAGCTGTCATACAGTGAACACAGAAAGCTCAAATATGAATGTTTCTTTACTTTGAAATCACTACAGGGAGTTGGAGAAAGAGGACAACATAAATATGGAGTTGAAAAGTAAAAGTCTCTATCTGAAACTGAAGATCAGGGTAATAGGAATAGACAATCAGGAAAGTTTGGTTGTCTAAATGTTCATGTTTGACACTAATCACAGGTCAACAAGCCTATAAGACATGTTTCTCTTTAGGAGGATCTGGTAGTAAAATAATGAATGCTTAAATATTATTCCTTTTCTCTTTTCTCATCTTTACTTACATACAAACTTTCCAGATTGATTCTAGCAACTTAGAATTTCATATAGAGTTAGAAGAGGAAACGTCTATCTACCACCTTAAACTTGTACTACTATCTGTCAAACTATTTTTTTTCTTTGAATTATAATACATAGAAAGAAAAACTCACTTTCCTGTTGCCCAGAGCATAAATTCCCAAGCCTTTCATGAATAAAAACTAGTTTTACATTAAATTTTATAGCCTTTTCACAGGATAATAATTGCAATTTGGAGATTTAAAGAATTTAAGGAGCTGCAATATGAATAGAAAAATAATGTATAGATGTGCACAGGCAAACATACACAATTACATATACAGCCTAATACATATATGSATGCATACAGCAGATTTACTATCCATTTAAACCATAGACAATGTATCTAAGCATTTTTATTCACCATCCACTTCTAATTAGCTCCTACTAAATCCTACAAACAAACTGGGTACTGTTGCCATTGCTAATACCATAAAGCATTCATAAAATTACCTCTCAATACCACTATCACTAGGAAATAGAGAATTTTTAAAATGTTGTTTGTATAATCTTATAATCTGAAATATGAAATAAGACATGTGAACTAAAGTTCACCAATACTACAGTCTTGTTTTTTTCTTTACAGAGAAGTGAGAGTTTTATTGGTAGTCTTGCAAAATCCTATGTCTAGTGGTCAGGCACATCCAGCAAAATTACAATTAATATTTTACTTAGTGTGCAATGTCTCTCCCCCCAGTTCCTCATTGGATGAGTACTTCTCAGATGTCACTAAGGTTTTACTGTCTCTTATTGGGTTATTTAATGGAATGCACTTTTAGTTGTCTCCACCTGTCCTTCCTGGAGTGAGGGCAATCTGGCATTTATGCAGTTCTAACTTCCTCATTTTAATCTCCTTCCCCTCACCCTTCCCTTTCAGAATCTTGTTTGTTCAAAGTCTAATAGACCATAATCACCTAACCCTTGTTCAATGGATTGTTTCACCGATTGTTCTTGTATTCTGAAAAGAGATTATATACCATTGTTTCTAACAAAAAGAACATACCTAAGAAACTTACCAGGGGGAAAAAAAAGTACACAAAAGTTTTTAAATAATGAAACATAAAACCAAATAGTTCTCTTTTTTTYCCTGAATTACTCCTCTCTTGCCTCTTTGCAAATATTTCCTCACCTTTTAAATGCTACTAGTAAATAAATCTTAGACTTAATAAAAAACTGAAGCTGAAAATGGAACAAGTCTTTCCCAAACCCAGGGAGGGGTGATTCTGTATGGACACAGACATTCCAGTCTTTAGCTTCAAGTCAAGCTGTCACCTGGGACCTCCTCCCACTCACCTCCTGGTGGCTGAAGAGCTCTGTGGGATTTTGCACCCACCATTTGCTGGGATCAATTTCCTTGCCCTTTGTGGTAAGTTTTTTCCTTTCACATTCTCTGAGAGAATCCAGAAGGCTGGAATCATTTCTCTCATTTCTCTCATTTCCCCTCAATGCTAGCAWCTCACTGCCTGAGCAAGGTGTCTCCAAGGAATGGAAACAGGGTTTAAGGGAGACAATGTACCAAGGAGTTGCCTATCTAGATAAGGCCCATTCCAAGAGATTTCTCAGCCCCAGTGCTTCCAGCTGCTCTCAAGAGGCTACACCCCACACCTCAGGCTATCCTTTAGGAGGACTTTACCCAGGGCCTGAAATTCCCTGCACCCTACAGCACATAGAGCAGCTGTGAGTATCTTGTGGCAGCCCCAGACAGTGCTGAAACTCAGCCCAAGGAAAGGAAAGGACTGGACAGTGGCTGAGAACACAGGACACTGTAAAGTTTCCAATGGGAACCTCAGTTCAAACGAGAGCCAAAATGTGTTAGTCAGACAGGGATAAGGGCCACTCCCCTCAAATTTATACATGGAGTAAATCATTCATGACCAGCAACTCCATTGGACCCTCAGGGTTTCGCCAGAATGCTGAGCCAGTCCCTGAGGTGAAGTGGTGCATGGTCATCCCTTTGTGTTCATGGAGTTCATTCTTTGAATTCAGGAGACAACCAACAGATCCTCATGTCTCACAAAGACATTAATAAGATGTCAGGCTATGTATTTGGCTTCTAGGGTAACCTGCTGTCTTTCCAAGGGACCTTCATGCCCCTGAATTTGCAGGGGACACAGGCTGTGCAGAGCTACCAGGGCGTCCAGAGCAGAGAATGTGGGGCCAGGGGAGCGATATTACAGTCTTATTCAACTAGTCARCCTTACTCTATTCTAACTCTAAATTTAAAAAAATTAAGCTACAGTACTGCAAGGCTGCAAATAATCACAGTCAACATAAAGGAACTGGGCATCTTGCTATGGAGCCAGAAACCTACTGTCATAGTGGCTTTTGCCAACATTTGTTTGTTTACTTAACCTTACAGCAGCTTTTGAAGTACATCATCTGTGCTAATTGTGACAAAAGGGATATAGAAGGTAATGACTCCTCTCCTTTGGTCCTGTATTCCTCTCTCTCTCCCTATCCCAGCTGAAATTTTATTTTCTGCATGTGGATATTTGCCCCTTGCTAGTAAAATATCTCCAAACAGTTTCAGTAAATTAGCGACACAAATAATATGGTATTGAGACWTCAGTCTCTTCAATCTCAGAAGTTCCCATGTACACTTTCAGATAAATTTTCAATGTCAATTATTTTTCTTTAAGAAAGAAAAATCAGAATTTACAAATTGCCATTACGACCCCAATACTCATCCATAAAACACAATTGTAAGCATAAAGTAAATACATGAAATAGGACAACATACATTGGCCTTAACAAACCTTCAATTTGCCATTTATTAAATTATTAAATAATTGGGCTGACATGTCAGAAATTAGGAAAATAGTAATTGTAAAGATCAAAGACTACCTTCTTAGCGTATGAGAAAACCAAAGTAAATGAGAGTCATTCTCTACAGAGGAAGAGCTATTATCCAAGTCCCTCTTCAAAATACTGACTTAAAACCCCTAAGTTTTAATTAACTCTACAAAGTAGGAATATATGCTCTAATTCTCTTTATTTTTTATTTCTTCTTATTTCCATTTAATCACATTCCAAAATTCTTTTTCAAATGTGGCACTATAATTAAATATCAAAATATAAATTTTCTGCTGGCCAAGAGAAAAACAGTTGTTGTATAACTATTTTCTAATTTTGATCTTAAAATTTATGATTATTCTGAATTCAATTTACGTTCATTTTTTTTTTAAGATGAGAACTCAAAACGTGGGACAGCTACCACAGAATTGAATAGCATCTTTCCAAATGCTCGGTTTGCAAGTCAGTGGAAATGATAGGTCAGAGACTTTCTTACACTTCAAAATGACTTATAACCAAGGTCTCATCTCACAGGTAATGAGACCAAACTAACAGGTCAGAACTTGAATCCCACTTGGGTGATTTGGTTTTCCCTAATCAGGAGGGTATTTGGTATATGACAACATGATTGGTCTAAATAGTATTATTTTGTATTTTTTCTCTTGGATCTAGCATACAAAAGGCAGAAAAGACGACCAYTGTAGGAGGGAAATTCCATCAAACAGTAAAAGTGTTTTTGGACAAGGT